TATTTGTGTTGATTTTGTGTTGATTGGTGCTTTCTCAACGTAACCGATATGAAGGTAAACAGAGAAAACAGAGTCGTTTAAATAGGCAGACGTGCTGTTCATTGGACGCGCTCTTCTCGTTTTTGCCACATATTGTGTATGCGTCTAGCTATATTGCAGCCGTGTGAAAAGCTGCATACCTCATCGTCACCATCCATCAGGGACCCCATGTCTTTAGGTTCCGTTTTTTTCCAGAGGCCTATCAGACAGGAGTTTAATGTGATGCCGACGAATAGTTTCCTTTCTTACGACACCAACGAACCTCTCAGTGGGTTTTGTGTTCTTATGCGCATGAGGAACTATTTTATGTGCAGATGTTGTTGGTTTGCACTCTACAGACCTGTGACAAACCATTTGTTTTCCTTAATCAAAGGAAAGGCCGCTATATGAGATAGATTTGTTTTTTTTGCTCCCCAACATTCATTTTGTACACCAACAAGGGGAGCTTTTTTTTTACCCGATTAACACCGGACACGACTTACAATAAGGTCCCAGCTATGCGACAAATCCTGGCCAATCTTTTGCAACACACTCACACGCACTCACACTCACAGACACACACGCGCGCGCGCGCGCAGACATGCAGGAAACCAGAGGCCGAGCCCTATATCGTGACTGTAAATTGCACAGTGGCAAGTCTGGCATGCCAACAGAAGAACGGGAATGACACGGAAGAGATTCCCTTTTGCTGCTGAATTATATCGACGTGTTGTGACGTGACCGCAGTTGTCTCGTGGTCTCCACATGTCGTCTTGTCGTACAACAATAAGTGAACATCCACACAGGAGTCCAATACCATGGACTATTTTTGTATTTCTTTCAATTCGTTTTTCTTAATTTGCAAACCAACCGTATAGTAATTAAGCCCAATAAACTATTTTTATACTGCTAATACTAATATACTGCTGTTAACAAGTGGTACATAAAGGCCGCTTACTGATAAACAGAAAAGCAAAGAAAATACAAGAAATACGCTTGATGTCGTCGTTCCAAATTCACGAAATCGGACCAAATATTTATTTTATGTACCGTTTTTGTTTTATTAAATAACATTTTTCATCCGCAGAAAATCTAACATTGCGTCTACCTTGTTTTTTCCTACGTCCAAAAAAGGGATGCGTTTAGCATATCATTTATTTATTTTTTATAATAACGAATATGTATTATGATGAAAGCAACTGTTCTTCTTCACTTTGAGATATAATCTCTGCTGGTTGTGATAGAAACAAAAAGGCAAAAAAGAGTGGGGGTGCTCTTTTGTCTCCTAAGGACGTGGAGGGGCTTTTACTATTATGCACAAAGATGGGTAGAACTGCAGCAGTCAAAATTCCTTTTTGTGAGGGGACAATTTACAACTTGCAATAGACTTTTTTATGTGCCTCCATCGCCTGTCATTGGATGCCACTGGTCATGTGTGAGAGGCAAACGTCTTCATGGCTCTTTTCTTGATTTCCCAGGCGATTTTCCCCCCACTGCATTCTGAGTCAATGGCGCTCTAACCGATACGCCACGGTCGGCTTTAAAAAAAAAAAATTGCATTCGTTTCATAAACGTCTGATCAGCAGATATTTGCGACAGTGAGCTGCTCAGGACGACCAGAGGAGCGTTTCAACTTTCTACACATCTGACCTCCTCATAGACACAGCAGCACCAGCCCTGCACTGCTTCATCGACATGGTCTGCAGAGGTAAACACCTACGAATAATCATGGATTACCTCCCGGCTATAGGTAAGCCTTCCGTGTGATAATGGCTTTATTAACGCTCACGTGTCTGCATGTGAAGTTTGACAGCGTCTGGGGTCATTATTAATGAAAAATTAGCAGCAGGGTAATGGCGTGCTACATGCTTTGTGTTACATATGTTTTCAATAAATTGTTTTTAAAAACTCGAAGTGTAGAAAATGGTGTTGGTATTAATAAAAACAATGTCACGTTTCTGCGGAATGCTCAGGTATAGAAAAGAAAGAAGGTAAGAAATAAAGACATGGGGGAAAAACAGGTTTCCACACATTTTACTGCAAGGTTATTTTTGCAGAAACGTCATGGAGTGACGTGTGAGGACTATTTGTTGATGCTCATCACTGAGTGTGGTCCCACGACTAAGAAGAAAAGCTTATGGATCCAATAGAGTACATTTCGTTGTCAGTACATTATTAAACATCGACCAAGCTTCTTTTTTATTAAAAACATTCGCCTGTTTATGATCATTTTACATATCTGTAACGAACATAAAATCTGCGTTTATCCGACCAAACCCCACCATGTTTTCACTTGCTAAAATGCAACAAAGAACGAATCTGCTTTGCTATATTTCACATATGCAAGCCTGGCAGGAGAAGAGAAGAGTTTTCGTAGCCGTCTTCAGCTGCCTGGAGATGGGGCCAACATGAACAAAGACAGTATTTCACTGTTGGCTGACAGGCAGCTGCGAAAGTATTTACAGCCTTACTGCAATGCGGCAAAATGGACCCTGGGACACAGGCGCGAGTAGCAGCCTGCACATGATGGAGGGCTCACTGTTTTTCCCATTGAACGCTGTGCATGGCTTACATCTGAGTTTGTTATGTGTGTTTGTGTATTGAGGACATTATCTGACCGTAAGCCCTGCACTCATGAAAGGATGTGGTTTTCCCTTTTGACCCTTAATTAACATTTCCTCGGAGATGTACACAATATGTGTATTTTGAGTTATCAGGTGAAAATACATGTGTTTATGTTTTATAAGAGCTAAAGGGTTTTAAAGATGTGTTTTTATTGCATATTTAGAGTCCTTAGTTTAACACTACTACAAATCATCATGAGCAGCAAGTTTATTGTTTTTTTTCTTGCTTTATATGTAATATCTCCATATTCTTTGCTTGGTGCTCATATTCAGTCCACAGATATCCGCACATTTCGAAAATCAAAGAAAATTTCCCAAAATCTATTCTAATTGTACCAAATGTGGTTCTTAATAGAATAAAACGTTCTTAATAGAATTTAATTAAAAACTTGCAAAATCAACCTGCATCAGCCAAGTTCTCAATTGACACAAGTTGTAAAACTCAGTTATTAATAATCAATCAAAAACTAATTTGCATTTGGAAAGTTTAACTCCACTTCGTTCTTCAATAGTTCCATTGACTGATTAAGTGAAAATGTAAGTGTACAAAATATCTTTTTGCCATGAAAACTGGGGGAAGCAGTTAAAATGCCAGCAGAAGGCGCTGTTGCCCAACAGTCAGCCTCTCCGCTGTCCTTCAGCACTCTCTTGCTAGCTGGTTCCCGTGAACAGCGATTGGCCCAGACACCTGATCACGTGATGTCGGTCATTTTTTGAAATGCACCACGTGAACTGCGCCATACACATTTTTTAAATTGCCATTAATTTAGTGGATGCTTTGGACCATAGCCGGATCGAGTCAGTGAAAGTGTTTGAGCACTTCTATGAGGACATGCATGTAAAAATAGACAAGCCTCTGCTCTGATGCCCTTCGATTTAACATACCTGCCCGCAGTGGCAGCTGTCCCGAACCTCACCGCCATCAGCCCTCCTGCTCTACAGGGCGAGGAGAGGAGGGGCAGAGCTGCTCTGCTCTCTGCGATTGGTCGGGACGAGTGAGTGACATCAGGCGTAGTGTGTCAGGTTCACTTTGGAGTAAAAGTGGATTTGAGCATATGGAGCTTTTGTTAATATTTTAGAGGTCACGTGGCTTCATTAAAACGGTACATTCAGCTGTGTCCAGTAAGGTGTACGCGACATTATTCACTTAAATTACTGGTCATGTGATTATTAATATTAAAAGTCAGAGATCACACTTTGTTTCTTCAAGAATTGCACAAGGTACAATATTCAATACCGTGGGGGTTTTTTTGGTCACAGTGCTCTGTTCCCATTTCTATCATGGCGGTTTAGTCCAAAGGCTCCAAGCTTCCTCCCTTCTACGACTTTCCCCCAGTGCACATCAGTATAATCGCCGTTATTGAGTAAGTGCAACTTTGAGGATTATTTATGGGCCTGCGCGGTGTTGTGAGTGGCTGCAAGGAAACACGTGATGCCATTAAAGTTTGTTTTATGGCCCGGGACTTGACAAGCCAAAATATAATTCTCATTGTGTATTAGAAAGAGCGTGCAGATGGGTTGGATTGGAGCTGGAATTGGAAGTGAGCTCCTACCGAGTTGTTTTTCTCGTGGATGTGCTTGTTCCGCGGCGTGCCATGTGTTCCGCTATCCGTGGTAAGCAGTGTTTTATCATTAAGCTCGTGGTATGGGCGTGTGATGTCACGCATAGTGCTCCGGCTGTACTGTTTCCTGCCTCTAAAAGCGGCAGCAGTGCGCGCTCAGACGACCAAGGAGAGGTAGATAATGCTGCAAGGAAAATCATGTTTAATCTCATTACTCAGCTCGGTTTGGGTTGAAACCCTCTTAAGACTCAATCGATGCTTTTTCGCACGGTGTTATCCACGTAGTACGTCTGATTCCCTGCCATATGATGTTGTTATTTGATAGCTTCGGCGGTCTTATTCACTTGGAGGCGGAAAGATCAACCTGTTGTGCCCAAAGTTTTTAAAGACTCTTTAAGAATATGGGGAAATTATTTCAAGGACACCGCAGGTTATTTTACAGTCATTTTTTCAATTCGTTTTTTAAATGATCTTCCATTTTAATAATACTTAAATAAGTAAACAAGAATAAATGTAATTTATTTCGTATTATTTTCTTCTTTATTCACTATACAGGCCTAAAGGCTTTTATTATGCGTACCTTCGAATTATTCATTTCTTAAAATATTGATATGCCTAAATAATATTAAATAAAACGTTGACCGGAAATGTAAGATTGATTTCTTCTTTAATTATTGCTAAAACGCTCATTCAGCGTAACATATTCAATAGGCCTCATATTCTCTTGCATTAATTTCTTAATATTTGGCTTTAAAAAAAAACCAAAACATTGTAACTGCAAATTTAAAAAAAAGGGTCCAGCTGAAGCACTTCGCCTTTCGTTCAACACAAGCTGACAGAAAACGCTGACTTTATCGTTCCTTTGTTTTGATTCTCGGCTTTGACCCGTCTGAAGGACACGCTGGGGAAGGTGAAAGACAGGTCAGGCTGTCTAACTAAACCTGAAATTTAAGTACAAGAGTAAATTTGGAAATATCTTCTAATTTGCTTTATAACAGTGGTTTTAAACGAACATGCAACGTCTGCAATAAAACAATAATCTTTACTTTGATGTAGGAAAACGTTAATGTATCATTGTTCCGTCTCAATTCCCACATATTGAAACCTTCAGCTTGTCATCAGGAATCAAGCTAAAAACGTCACATTAAACAAAGCGACGTCATGCACCATCCAGTAAAAAGGCCCAATACGCGCTCATTTTCTTATTATAGCAGAAGACACGGCCCAATCTTTTTTCAAGAAGGTAACGTGAACCCGATGTTAGACGTTTGCCATATTCAATAATAATATATTATTGTTGGTAATTAACCGAGTCAAAGCGTCACCTAGCTACCATATTTACATATTTTGTTATGAACTCTCAGTTGGATGTTGGCCAACTATTTGAACGTAATTACATGAGTGCATTACGTATCTTCTGTGCTGTGATTTTATTTATTTGCATTCATTTATTTGTGTTTTTTCCCTGATTCTGGTGTAGGGAAAATAGCCAGTTAATCTTCACCATTCTTATCCCTTAATTCATTTGTAAGCTGTCTTGCAGTAGCGCTTTGGCAGGTTAGTCTGACGATGATAAGTTGATAAGTTTGTAAATGATTTGGTCTGACCCCCATGGTCTCTAGCCTCATCTTTACAGCTGCTCTTGCCAGAATGTAGCATCATTTATATAAGTTTACGTAATGCTTCATTGACCAATGTTTATCTTTGATTATGGTTGACAGCTTATTAAGTGAAAAGTTATGTTATTTGAGGAAGGTGTTTTTCCCCCCCTATATGAACTTGGGGTGATATGGAGACCTGGGCTGACCTGAGATACTAACTGATGCTCAGCGTCTTTGGCTTGTCATTTGCTGGTTAATGGACAGGAATGTCACCATAGAGGAAAGCATATAGGCCTCTGCAGTTCTACTTTTTTTTTTTTTTACAGAAGCTGCCTCTGACTTGCTTTTGACCCGAACTCACGCAGATGATCGTACCAACGAAAGGCGTATGAGGAAAAACATCATAACGAAAAATGAGAGAGAGATTGTGCATTGTTGAAACTGAATATAATTAGTCACTGATATCATTACGGCCTATAAAATGACTTCTTCGGTTTACTGCCTCGTGCATATCTCTTATTCCGTATTTAACGTGGTTTATGCGAGCCACGTTAATACGTTTTCGCTGAATAAATATGCTGTAGTTTGGTGGCACTTGCCGTCGTCTATATATACCCTGTAGAACCGAATTTGTGTGATGATACCATAATCACAAATTCGATTCTAGGGGAGTATATGGTCGATGAAAAAACTTCGATTAAATGACTTATTGCCATCTTACTGTCGGGCGTTTGGAGACTGAGGTGCACTCACACGCTTTTTTTGCTTTATGAATGACAGTAAATGTGACAACACCACATAGTTCATAGAAAGTGCTGAGGGCACATTGAAACTGCGGAGGCGTAAAGGAAATCTGACGCATATACACTTGAAAACGCACGTAACGAGAAATAATTTAGCTCAGTGTGTTGGAATGAAATAAAACAGAAATTCACTTAAAGAATAAAAAAAAACACAACACACTCCAGCTACAGCTTCTTCCTCCTTTGGGTCGCAGGTCTCTATTATTGATTCCCAAAGGCTGCTGCTGCTGGCCAATGGGGTTCCGACAGTTCTTTTTTCAAAGGGAGCAGATGAAGTGATGAGATTCGTGTAACTTTTCGATGACCCCTTCTTGACAAAGACAGTGTCCATCAATTGTCCTCACTCATTATTCGCTGCTTTTATGCCGAAGGGCTTTTTGTATCTTTTGTTTGTATCTCTGTTCAACACCATGCCTTCAAGTTAGACCTTAGAAACTGAATATAATATAATATATATATTTTTTCTGCAGCAACCCTACGCCAGTACTCTCTTTGTCTTCGTAATACATTAGTTTAAAGTTAAACACACGTTGGAATTATATGTGTATAAAAAAAATCCAGCTAGTTTATTTATTATCAATATTTTCCCTGCTATATTTGTTTGTTTTTAAGTTTCGTCACGGGAGTTTTATTGTAGTCCATCTGAAGTACCAAATTAGCTTTAGTTGTATGTTTACCCGTTCATGGACCAGCATCACCTCCATTGGCCGATCTGGTCACATGGTTCGCTAACTTTATTCAGTTGACACCAAGTAGGAGGGCTTTATGGAGGGAGGAAAAAAAGACAACTCGAGAAAAATTAGTATTTTCTACCCTCACAAATTAATGGCCATGAGTTCGTATTTGGTGAACTCTAAGTATGTGGATCCCAAATTTCCTCCCTGCGAGGAATATTCACAAAATAACTATATACCTGAGCAGGGCGCGGACTTCTTCAGTCCAACGCAGGACACAGACTTTCAGCACCCAGGGATCTACCCGCGGCCGAACTTCACGGAGGAGCCCTTCAGCTGCAACACCGTGCAGGACTCCGCCGGGCAGCCCCGGGGTCATGTGCACCAGAGATCCAGCCGCTCGAGCTCTATTAGCGCACAGACTGAGCACGGGCCCCCGGTCCAAGCGGCCGGACCCCGGACTTGTGGACAGCAGCAAAACACAAAGAGCCAACATGGGATACAGTCCAAGCAGCCCGCGGTAGTCTACCCTTGGATGAAGAAAGTCCACGTTACTAATGGTAAGTGTTCAGCTTCTTCTCCTCTCGTGGACGGACCGAGACCTGTGCTTTCCAAACCATTCAGGGTAATATTTATGTGAGTCTTTGAAAGGCCTCGCCAATTACACAAGTCATAAATTTTTATCGCTCAGGAAATGGGCCGCTGTAGGTGAGCGCCCGGAAAAGCTCCGGAAAACGCGTATTGACCAGTTGTGCTGGCGGTTAAATCGGAGAATCTGCGGAGATTCAGTTTAGAAATCACTCCTTATTTAACGCTTTCGTTTCCACGTGCACGTTGTTCAAGTTGAGCGCCCCAGGTATCGAGAGAGAGACTCCTCGTGTTGTTTTTTCTCCCCCTGCTGCACTGGCCACATTTGGTGACTGTTTTCTCTTGTTTGTTTTCTTTCTCCCAGTTAACCCGGATTACACGGGACCCGAGCCCAAACGGTCCAGAACAGCATACACCCGACAGCAGGTTTTGGAGCTTGAAAAGGAGTTTCATTTTAACAGGTATCTGACCAGGCGGCGACGGATTGAGATTGCCCACACTCTTTGTCTCTCCGAAAGGCAAATCAAAATCTGGTTTCAAAACAGACGGATGAAATGGAAGAAAGACCACAAACTACCAAACACCAAGGGCCGATCGGCACCAGCCGGCCATCTGCAAAGCATCCAGAAGGACAGCCAGACTGACATCACGTCTTTATAAGAGAGGAAGAAGGTGTTACGCTTTTAGAAATAAACTGTACAGATAAAAGTCAGGGTTTGCATCTGGCTTTTGCATGGACTGATTTTGTTTTTAGCCATTTTTTTTTAATTTAGCAAAGACCACAGCAGTATTGACTCGAGAATCAGAAAGGTCGATCAGTCTTTGTGAGAGAGTGAGAGCTTTGAAAGTTCCCCAGTGTTTTAATTTCTTCAAAGAGACACAAACAATATCGAAAGAAACCTTTTTTTTTTTGGGACGTTGCCCACCTGAGGACATTTAATGAGCAACCTGGAATGATTTCCCCGACCTAAACAAAGCGTTGCAGCTCAGTCCACGTGGATTCACGTATAGGTTTAAAGATGGAAATATCTTTAATCAGAAGAGGAGAGCCTTTGGTACAAATAACACAGGCTCAGAGGTTATTTTCGTTTATCTTCCTAGCCGATCCTCACTTTAATTGCACAATATATACATAATATACTTGAAGGAACCAATATCTGCAAAGAGCACGCCAAACAAAACCGATTTCGTGAGTTGCGAAAATCCCGTTGAATTTTTTATGTTTTACGTTTCTTTGTAAGTAGTATGTTTTAACTTATTTTGTACAAATAAAGGTCAGGAAATGTGTCAGCCTAAATAGTACTATAGCCCAAATCAAGACATTCCTGTTTGCATACAATTCGGAGAACCCTTTAAAATCTCTCCTGACATCTTTGAAAACAATGTACATTTTGCATGGCATCGAATTGATATTGGATGTTTTCACATCGAAAAAAATCAAATTCAGAATATTTAGGATTATATTTGTTTATTTCCTTTTGGTATTATTTGTTTGCGCCATTATTTATTTGTTTGAAAAAACGTGTACATTTTCCTATAGCACACACAAATACGAATTAAAAGTCTTCGTTGAACTTTAATTGATCTAAAATGTGTTTGAACTCTTGTGGGTTATTAGCATGGCTTTATGCGAAGTTTTAGTCCTTAGTTGTGTGAATCTTGGAGTTTTTCATTTACACCGGGCCAACCGAGGGGGGCTTTCACCACACATCTCAAGACAGCTACTTCTTGTTTTATACCGTCATTGTCTTCGGACAAACAAAAAAAAAAAAGCACAGAAGCTCCCCGAGTACGAAAAGGTCTTCTCTGGGAAGCCTTTACGATGCGAGGCTTGAAAAGGTATTTCAACCGAAGGTCGACAAAGCAGCAGTGGAAGGTTCATCCAGGGGACACATTTTAGCCGCAAGAACTGACCCCAGCACCCCTGACCCGCCGGACAAGCAGCATTTTCTCTCCCAGGCGCTGTTCACTTTGGTTCGGAGGGGTTTTCCACAAAGTTAAAGAGCCAAAGCATTCAAAGCAAGAGTCTGTGCGTAAATTACGTATTTTTTACACGTATTTTTTGACAGCAGGCCTATTTTAAAAGCTTCTGATTTGTGCATTTGTCTCTTCATGTCAATATGCAATATTGCAATATGCATTTGGGTTTTTATTTTTGTACATGCTTTTCACTTTGTATTGTGCATTGAGATGCGAGAAGTATACTGGAAAAATAAAGATTTCTACTGAATATGCATTTAAATGACTGCAGAGATCTCTTTGTCGCGACTAACAAAAACAATTTCTCCATTGGAGGACTATCTGGATTCCAAAGGGAATTTATTTTACCGGGCACACTGAGGTATGTTGCAATGTTTACTTTCATTTTTGTTGAATTATTTAGTTTCATCCATTTCGTGCCAATTTCAAACGGATCTCTCTTGGTGGGCAGTTTTTCTTCGGCGGTAACGCGCGTGTGGAGCCATATGGGCATTAAGCACCCTTTTTCAAAACATCCACAGACGCACCAAATGTGCGCTGCATGGGCAAATTCAGCTTCTTCTCTGGTCAAGCATGAAATGAACGGTCATTCATTGATATCATTAATCTACATGAGTGTGCGTATCTTTTCTTTTTTTCAAACTTGACAAAGAACGAGTTTTTCTTAGTTTTCACTCTTTTTGAAAGGAGCGTTTCCGCTAAAAACATCCGCACAGGCTCTTTGTGGAGCTTTCAAGGTGATTGCGTTCCAAGAAAAGCCTTTGAAGGTTTTGCGTGATTTTTTTATTACAAAGTAGAGATTTACACGAGTCTTTATCACATCAAAGAAACACACGAGACAAACTTGATTAAAACACACAAAAAACTTGTCCAGTGGCAAATCCAAATAACGTGATCCATCACTAAGTAAACATATACAGATAATAAACTGCTATATGAGATCGGCTGCTCGCCTTATTTTTTTATTTTTCCCCCCCCCCCCCCCCCCGTGCGGGCTATGCCTTTATTGAATATGACCCGCTGCTACAATGACCCCCGAGCCTCCACAGTGCAAAAATCAGTGCTGATACAAACAAACGAGCATAAACGGACATATGGAAAGACAATCTTCAGTCACTCGGCAGTGTTTTCATCCCCAGTGACCACTGTCTCCTTCCCGCTGAGCGCACACGGCCCTTCATACGTGCACATGTCGCCGATATCTTTGTGCACGCGTAAAATACACGCGCGCGTGTCATATACATTCAGAGAGAAGCTGAGACAGAGTGATGCTTCCAATTCACCATCCTGCCAAAAGCGATCTGCACATAGATGCTGAAGAGTGGATGAGCGAGGCAATGGGGGGGAGGGGGGGTGGGGAACTATGCATAACCATTTGATGCATATGATTGCTGTATATATATATATATATTGCATCGTCAAGTGTATTTGTTTTGTAAAGGGGTTTTAATATCAAACCACCTGGAGTCCGACTCGCTGGTATTCAAACTTGAATAGAAATCAAATATATCACACAGTTCCCTCCAGTCATTATCAGGTGAGAGCAGCCTACTACGTACAGTGTGCAGCCACACTGACCTACATGTCTGAACAGCAATAAATGGGAGCCAAAGGCAGTGCCATTTTCAATGACACTGCACCCAGTGCAGGAATACCACGTCGTTGCTCTCCATCCGGCCATATTTGATTTCCAGCTGTTTTTTCGCAGAAGCTTCTCCGAGCCAGACAACCCCCCTTAAGATATATTAAAGTGCGCTGTCTGCATTCAGAGATATAATCCAGAGACTACACCGCTCCGCTCTCTATTCTGGACCACGTGATTGTCTAAATAATTAATGCAGCACGTCCCCCTAGAAGCGCGGCGTCGTCATTAATCGCACTGACTCTATCAGACTTGAAAACTGAAGAGATCCCCCAAAGAAAATAATATCCGATACTCGGCGCAACCGTAGCCCCGCACTTTAGCAACATATCCTAACCGATGGATGCTTGGGTAGGTAAATATTTCAGCATTTTTTTTTCATGTTGCCGTAGCTGGTAAATTACGATATCAGATGTCGTTATGTTTGATAAATTGTTGCCTTTCATCTGTGCGCTCCGGACGGGATTCTGCTTGTGGTGTTGTCGCTGTACGCGCATCTTCTTTTTTTATATCATGTATTTGGAAAGCCGGAATGTTGGCGCTTGCCGGATTGATAGAATGAATGGTAACAACTAAAGAGCAGTGACGTGTATTTATGGCTGTTCGCTCGGAATAAATGCTCTTTTCGGACACAGCGAGTGGCCCCTCCACCGGGCCCGCGGAATGTTTATTCATTGTCTTATTCATATTTATACCACTTTAGAGGAAAAAGGAAAAAAGATACCATTGGTGCATTTAAAACAAGGGAAATAGCCGGTGAATTATGTATTGCTAAGTAGAGCCGAGCATCTTGATTTATATGGTTGACGTTTTCATAATAAGACGAATAAAAAGTAAATCTTTCCTTTTTGCTTGTGAGGACAAAGGTGGATTTCGACAGTTTTTGTTATTAGCAGGGGGTGGTTTGATTTTGATTTCTAAGAAGTCGTGCATGTAAGGGCAGGCTGACAGTTCTGCCGCCTTGTAAATCATTCTCAGTAATTCCTGAAAGGCTTCGAGGCTGTTGGGGGCCGTGCGAAAACTGTAAATCTTTCACTTTTATTACCCTCTGAACATATGCTGCGACGCTACCAGTCCCGCGTCTCTTCTTTTTTCTTCTTCTTGCTCTCAGCAAAGATAACCTCCTGAACCAGTCGAGGATCTTTGCGGCTCCAAATCGTCTTTTTTTTAATCCATTTGCGTCTTTTCCCATAAATGTATTGATGCCGTTTGTACTTGTCTTTTGTAGAACCTCTGTGAATGATTTAGAAAGAGAAACAGTGCCGGGGAAGACACTCTTTGTGTTTGAGTGTGACAAGAGAAACAACAAACAAAAGATGATATTGTGGTTTATTTCAATACAATTCGGCGCCAGCTGGTCGGTATATGCCCACATTAATTCATAAATCATTCTCAAAGTGCATGTCCTACATCACTGCAGTAGCTGATAGGCAACTACAATGAGACATTGATAGGAGTAGAATATTATAGTAATGGCAGTAACATTATCCAAGATACGTTACCGTGGTGCATTTATGGCCCACTTTGAACCTTTTATTGGGACGTTTTTTTTTTAGGAGAAAATCTAAAAAAGGGCGTTCAATTTAAAAACTGGTGTAACATATGAAATGCTCAGAAATGAATTATGATTACATCCGAAAACCCACCTCACTGCGTGCGGTAAACATTGCTCGGGTGGAGCTGCAGAATGTCCACATGTTTATTTTTTTATTAATACCTTAACAACAGCATACAATATAATGCGTGTGTTTAAATGGTGAAGTGCAGGCGTGTTGTAATTCAGCGAGGGATGAAAATGGAATAGGCGGTGGAACCATTTTCGCACAGTTCAGATGAGGAAATAAACGCCACCCTTTATCAAAACGGATTGGTGAGGTAAGAGCTCCGTTGTAGAAGAGAACAATCACGTGAACAAATATGCTCGTATCTTAAGGCAGCGCCTTTATTTGTCATCACAAAGCTTCCGAAACACCCCGAAAACCCCCAATCTTAGCTCCAAATATGTACAGGCCTGTATGCGTGTTTGAAGTCCTGTATATTTCAATGGGTGATTGATTGCCAGCGATTTTTTTTCTGGAATAAGGATACCTTGTTGGCTTTTTATTGGTAGTTGAATACGAGTCCTTCCATTCTTTCGGGAATACTGTCTCCATTGGTATATGGAAATGTCTGAAAAACAGCAAGATCAGGTTTAGGACAGCATTGTCTACAGACAAAGGGTGAAGGATTTATTCTAGAGTCTGCATGGGAAGCAACTGAGGCTGAGAGGGAAGCTGCTTTGTGATGAATTGATTCGCAGGTAAGCAATCGCATGGCAGAAAGCAACCTTTAACCACGGGTTAATATAATACAAGGAAATATATATGATTTATTCCCCTCAAGGAGGCGATGCTTGTTAATGTCGCTCCCGCCGGCGACCGTGTGTATATGGAGTCCACTGCTTCTCCTCATCGCCACCTTCCTATTTTTTCCCCTTTTCGGGGACTTGCGTACTAATGTTATCGACACATTGAGCTCGAGCAGCTGCTTTTCAGCTGATTTCACGTTTCGATGAAAACCGTCTCTGGAAGAAGTAGGAGAGGAACTTTTCTTTTTGACTCTTGGATCGTAAATCACATTAATTTGTTGTCTTATCACACTGGCGTTTGCAGTGATTTATGTGGTTTCAACTGTATGGCTTTGTTAACCCACCACGTTAAATTATACAGGAATTCATAGTGGATGCCCTGCAGGAATACCGGGCTGGATAGTGAACAAGGATAGAGGCAAATCTTAATTTTCCTCCTGTTTAGATACTTTTTGGGATTACGAATGCTATTATTGTTGGGAAATGAAATTGGCCCCATTTTACACTATTAACGTATTTATTGCTTATTTTTGATAACAGACTACCTGTTTTACAATGGTTTAGGGTTCGATTCACGCGCACACAAGCTGCTGAATTTTTTTACCAAACTCCACAAAAAGCTGCATTATGGCAAAACCTTCTGCTGCAACTGGTGACTGTGATTTATTTTAGCAGCGCTCTCCGGGAACAACAGCGAGCAGAAACGATAATACAACACCGTTATTAAATGCATTTAACAAACATTAAAAAAGAAAAACGCCCACCAAGAGGTGTCTAACTGACCCGAGTTGGGAGCCGCTAAGCAGCAGCAACGGCTCACTGAGATAATAACACTCCACATTGAGTCCGGCCCATTGTGTGGACCAAACTTACCGTAACAGCGCGTAGGCGAAGAACACTGCTGTCTGAAAAGAGGACCATGTCTGCTACTAGTAGCCCAGTGTGCCAAAAAAGCACTTAAGGCGATTATCGACCAGCTTTAACAAATATTCCACATCGAAGGAATCTTGAATCTCCATGATAATATTTGAAGTAATTATCCTCCAGTGCAAGCAGGGAACCGAGGTGGCTTCACACGCGGTGAAAAAACAATTACCTAAAAATCCCTAATGTTTAATTTGTAATGTTGGGTCGTCGGACGAGAATCTCCTCCGTTTCCATCACCGCAGAAAAGCAGTTTTGAATTTGGTTGAAGAGTTGAGTCTACTTGTAACCGAACTGCTAGTTGTTCATTAAACTTTGGCCTAATGCTGTGTGACCCAAAGGTCACCCGAAAAAGCTTATGACTGCTAAATATTTGGGCTTGCTCTTTGTGTAAAAAGTGCACATGTAAGACTTTTTTACTCTCATGCGGAGACCTGAAAAAAACTCTTATATGTTCATTGCAGAGGCCATTCGGTCAAAATTAAAACGGCCAAAAATACATTTTTTATTTGTTCAGGAATTATTGGAATTAAAATATATGTTGAATTGCAGCTGTTAGAATTACATTCAGATAATAACATGCATTTTCTAAAAGAATACTAGTGTTGGTGATATTAATCGTCACCTTTGTATAACAGCAAAATATGTCTTGAATTTGAATCCTATATTTGACTTTAATTTAAATGACATCGAAGATGAAACAATATTTTTTTTAATGTTTCTTCCAGGTCGAGGACGGAGCCGTGATGGATGCGTGAGGGATATCAAAGAGATTTGTGCAGATTTCGGTGAGTAACACTTCTTTATTGAAGGGAGTGAACGGCACAGTCCAACTGCTAACAAGGTGAAAGGGTGATTTGTTATGAGACTACATATTAACGCTCACAGCGTTTCACGGGAGGCTTAAACCATGCACACAGACACGAGGGACAGATTTAACTTCGGCTGTACGGGGAATTTATTTGCATGTTCCGGAGAATCCTTCGAACACAATTGAAAAACCGCATGAACAAAAACAAGGCCAGCGCCCTCAAAAACGTTTTAAATTTAGAAAATCGTCACATGCAAATTATAAAACGTAAAATCAAGTAGAATTTCACCATTTCATCCCAGGATTCCCACACGTTAACCGCTCCGCAATCGCCAATGTCGCCTGTCTTTTTTTCTTTTTTTTTAAACCAGCAACCTCCTCGGTGTTTTCCTGCACACTCGCGCTCAGCCAGAATGGAGGCACCGTTTATAAACCGAGCCTCTGTATGGGCGAACGCGCCGAGTATGAAATTCTTTCCCTTGCCTTCCTCCTACGCGTGCTTTTACACTTCTGAGGGCTGCAGAGTCTTAGGGGCTGTTTGGCTTTTCATTCCTCTCTGAGGCCATTTACAACCATAACATTCGCGGTCATAAATTTTGCCGCGGTCCACGCTGACAGGTGCAATTGTTATGCACGGCGCAGGCTGCAGCTCCTTGAGCCACCAACATACAGTAAAGGGCCCTTTGATTGTTGTCTTCCAACGTGTCGTTCATAGGCTGGCGTGCGTTACTCTGTTATATTAAACATATGGTGTTTCTGTAAAGCTATAATATTTTTTATTCATTTTTCTATAATTAAAGGTACAATTTTCAACGAATGGTTTAGACGCAGAAAACCGACCAACCTGCAGCCCAAATATGAGGGTCAAGGCATTTTTCTTTTTTACCCCATAAAATAGGAGGGTAAAATACCCCCCTCCCCCAACCCCCTTCACCCCTTCCTCCACCACACACATACGTACATACCTGTTACTTACCTGCAGTTTTATACTCATGTTAGTAACACACGTCGGAGGAGATTAGCACGTATAGCTTCTTGTTTACTCAAAAACTGTGATTCAAACGCATGTCCGCGGCCTTGGTGGGCGATTTATTTTTTTTTGCTCCAGGGAACAATGCATGACGGGCTTTGTCAAGCTTCGTGATTAGTGAAAAGGGTATTGTGTGTACGTGTGTGTCAAAGGCTGATTCAGCTTATTTCTAAGGGACTCCTGGAGCCTCTCAGAGGCTCCTTTTATCACAAGTTAAACTTTAACTGTTTTGTGCCAGAAATGAATCTGAGGCTGGTAGATGGATCCCACTTAGAGACACTTAGTGATTTCTCTTTCAATGGCTGCTGCTGCATTAGTCTTGAGGCGAGCACAGTCATTTTTCCTGGTTTATTGGGAAATCTCTATGAGGTTGCAGCTACAACGAGCTTGGGCCTTAATGCTCGTGAACCCAGATGAGTCTGATCTGAATGTCTTTTTAGGTCCCATACTGGATCAGCGGTGGGAAACACCTATCACGTGAACAAACAACACCCATGCCACTGGATAGAGTTGCACTGGCTCATCGGCTCTGAATCCACAAAATGCAGAAAGCAACATACTACGATAACTCTGGACTTTTTGGAGGCTACACCTTCCCCAAACCTGACTCTTACAACTATGGCCCCGCTCATCAGCCCTACGCTGCTCCCAGCCTTGAGAACGACTACCAGGGCTCGGTGTGTCCCGCCCAGACCTCTGCTCTCCGGCCACCGAGCCTGAAAGACAGTGACCTGAACGGAGACTGCATGAGACAAAGCAGCAGTCAAAGCAACAACAACAACAACAACAGCAGCAGCAGCCAGGCTACGAGCATTGGGGAGCAGCAGGCACCTCCGTTGTCGGCATCCTCTCCCAGCTCCAGCAGCTCTGCGCCCCAGAAAAAGAAATCGCCTTCCAGCGGCGCTTCCAGTTCTGCCACACCGACCCTTACAAAGCAGATATTCCCCTGGATGAAGGAGACCCGGCAGAACTCAAAGCAAAAGAGCAACAACTGCACCAGTGCAGGTAGAGACAATGATGGTGCGTATATAGGGCCTGGGCGTTATGGGAGGGGGGGCAGGGCTGGGTATTTTTAATGATTGGTAATAGCTTGGCTGTACAGTGGCTAAGATGATGTTGTTGTGGTTCCTTTACAGGTGGCGACGTGAGCGACGAGAAGAGCCCGCCGGGACCAGCCTCGAAACGGGTCAGAACTGCGTACACCAGCGCGCAACTCGTGGAGCTGGAGAAGGAGTTTCACTTTAACCGCTATCTGTGTCGCCCTCGGAGGGTGGAAATGGCAAATCTGTTGAATCTCACCGAGCGTCAAATAAAGATCTGGTTTCAAAACAGGAGGATGAAATACAAAAAGGACCAGAAGTCTAAAGGGCTCGCGCACTCTCCCATGGGACACTCCCCGGATAGAAGCCCGCCGCTGAGTGGTCCAAATCACATTGGATACTCTGGCCAGCTCCAGAACGTGAACAGCCTCAGCTATGACGCGCCCTCGCCCCCGTCCTTTGCCAAACCCCAGCAAAACATGTACGGTTTGGCAGCGTACACGGCACCCTTGGGTGGTTGCATCCCGCAACAGAAGAGGTACCCGGGCTCCGAGTACGAGCACCACGGCATGCAGGGCAACGGTAGCTTTGCCAACGCCAATTTGCAAGGCAGCCCCGTTTACGTGGGTGGGAATTTTGTTGATTCCATGCCAGCCTCTGGCCCCATGTTCAACCTCGGCCACCTTCCCCACCCCTCATCCACCAGTGTGGACTACAGCTGTGCCGCTCAGATCCCAGGAAACCACCACCATGGACCCTGTGATCCCCATCCCACATACACAGACCTCACCTCTCACCAAGCGTCTCAGGGAAGGATTCAGGAAGCGCCTAAACTCACGCATTTGTAATATGTGGTTTATCCGTGTGTGTGTGTGTGTGTGTGCGTGTGTGTGTGTGCGCGCGTGCGTGCGTGCGTGTGTGTGTGTGCGCGCGTGCGTGCGTGCGTGTGTGTAAGTGTGCCAAAATTATGTTGCGCTCTTTTTATTACCTCACTAGTCTAATAACTACACTCCGAGAGAGTTGTGTGTATTATTACAGTATTATTGATATTCCTATTAATGCTATTGTGTAATTATTTTCAGAATAATGCAGCTTTGTCGATTTCTGTTGAATATTTGGGGATGCGTAGGCACACTAGCCTGGTTGTCTGTTGTTCCTTCTCTATGTTGGTTTTTTATCAAGTGCAATGCGCAAATTTTGACTAAATATTTCATGACGTTACTTGAAGGTAAGTCTCGTATCTCGAAAGTAGATTCTCATATTTAGAGGGAAGGACTTTTGTAGGGAATTTTTCGTCTGTTTTGTAGGACCTCATCCTCCTCACGTGAATCCTATTAATTTATTTTGTATTATTTTGCATAATCTTTTGTATTAGCATATAGCCTATTTATTATTTAATTATTCTTTGTATTGCACATTATTTATCGTTTATATGCGAGTATTTAAGTGTGGAGTTTTTTGTAAGATTGGACAGATCAGTGCACTTGGAAGTGTTGGCAAAACAGGGTTTGAAAAATGCTATGACTCGCTGTGTATTGTTGAAAGAAGAGCATTTCTAATTGTAAATCTGGGATAAATGGGACATTTGATAGTGTATAAACTCCACTACATGTCCATTGTTAATCTTGTGTCAAACCTAAAGCAAAACGTAGACTATCGAAGTATGAAATATTATACACACCAGCATGTCATTTTGTGTAGTCCATTACTATTTTTGATTTGTCTTCCACAGTTATTCCATTCAGTTGGATATCCATAAATTTATGACACCCTAACGATATTGAAATGTTATATTTTAATGTGTTTAACATTTTGTAAATAAAGTGCTCAAACTTGTATTTTTTTATTGCATTTTTAAAAAACAAAACACCCTGCAGCATTGTTTGTTCACTGTATCCAATTATTTGAATTCCTCCCAGTGAAACTGTCAGGTAAGAGAACCGAGGAGGATTATTGACTCTATAACTCTACTGTACAGTCCAAATCAATAACAAGACACCGGGATATCTAAAACTCATCAGACGACTCTATGCTTCCAATGCAAAGTGCATTTCAGCCGGATAAAGGGGCTGTGGAGATTATTGATGTTTCGTTGGTATGATGGAAGTGGCTCTATGAGCCTGCTGCATTTCTCACATGTCACTTATCATTTTTTAGTCGGCCGCATGATTATCTGCTGGGACAAGAGAATAAGCTCCTTTTTCCTGCAGTCTAATCGCCGCCTGTCTAATTGATAGGCTCATATTAACGTTTCATACATTTGCGGATTTGAAATGGGCCCATGTGCTGATGGGTAAGACGGAGCAGATAGGCAATAAAAGCAAAATAACATAAAAGCAAAAAACACTTTGACATT